AGTTCTTCAATTTGAGTTCTGTTCTGAAGTTTGCAAACTTTGGGAAGGACAGGGGGGTTTGTTGAGGCTGAAGGCTAACTCTCTTCGGGGTGCAACATGTAACTGGGGATTGGATTATTGCCGCCTGCCTCGTTGGGAGTGTTGCGCAGTCGAGGCAAGTTAGTAACTCGTGTTTTGCTGTATTTTTAAACTGGGTCCTGGGACCTAGTGTCCTGGCCACCCATGGACATGGGTGGATTCCTTAAATTTATTATTTTATTCACCCTCATTTAACCAGATAGTCCCATTGAGATTAAAACATCTCTTTCACAAGAGAGACCTGGCCAAGAAAGCAGCAGCACATACACTCATAGACAATAATAAAAACCACAAATGAAACATAGTATCATATATCCAAATAACAGAACATATAAGGAGAGAGAGAAAGAGAAAACCAAGAGAAAACCAGAAAAGAGTAGAAACAATACAATAAAAGCAACTTTTTCAGAGCAATGACAATGTGGTCTAGGGTATGTGGTTTCTAAACAATACATCATACATCATACATCATACAGCAGGGGTGTCAAACTGCAGTCCTGGAGGGCCGCAGTGGTAGCTGGTTTTTGGTGTGTTTTAGCACTTAATTGATTAATTAAAATCACTGGTTGGCTAAAGAGTCCACACACCTGGTTTCCAAGGCCTAAAATGGCTGCCAATCGAAAGGAAAGAACAAAAACCCGCAGACACTGTGGCCCTCCAGGACTGGAGTTTGACACCCCTGTCATACATCACCTCTACCAAGCATGAAAACTTGGGCTTTTTAAGGGTTAAGCCCTTCCCCCCAGGACCAGACCAGCTGCTAATTTACAATTCACAATTCATACAAAGCAGCATTATTGACTGAATATGATAAAGTTATAGACATTTCCATAATGCCCATCATTACTATTGGTTGTAAATTATGCGCAGTTATCTTACTTTTACCGCTGAAAAACAATTAACAGCATGTACAACAGGGACTGGCACGACTAAGCCAGCACGAGTTGCTGCGCATGTGTTTGGGTCCTACCGTTACACCCGGAAGCACAACGTTTCGGCGGTTTCCTCAAACAAACTAAGCAGACTCGGAAGGGAGACAGAGAAAACGGCTAACTATACAACAAAACAACGGAAAACAAAGCAAAGCGTGCTACCGACTATAAGTAGAATAAAGAAGATAAAACCAGACATTTACGTGTATGTGTTTGTTTGTTATGTTAGGTGATATGTAGGACTGTCAGGAGGTAAATTTGTAGGTGGATATGTTTGCGTGTGTGAACCAGAAAGGAGGCAGCTAGCCCCGAGTGTGCACCCCCGGAGCTAACGCGTTATTTCTGCAAACTGGAGTGAAATGGAAAAATATGTAAAAATGTACACAAAACATGAAACAAGCACTGTATGTTGTGATTATGTTTGTAAGGGGAGGTAGGGGTGCTGCCTGCGGCCTGGGACAGAGCCCTCTGTCACAGACAACTTTCTATTGAGTTAGGTTCCATAGCCCTAACAAGTGTTTTGAATTCCATGTGGAGGGGACAGAGATCATAAATTCTTTACTACCCATCTCCATTCGAACCTTGGAAACAGCAGAAATGGACCTTGGAACCTCAGACTATACTGTTCTCAAACTTTCTGTGTTGTATAGATACATAAATAGAAGTTTTTCAGCCTTATAAATAAATGTACCAGTGGCTGAGCCTACAAGAGTACAGAGATGGCCAAGATATTCAAAGTGTGGCTTAAAATAAAGACAATCATCAATTAAAATGACTACCTTTCCCAGTGTAGTTACAATATACAGCAGATTTGATGGTTTCTTTCGGGAGTTTGTAAACATACATTTATGATGCATTTAATACAAGCTTCAATTGAAAGAACTGAGACTACAAGATTAAAAACAGATTACAAGGTCTCAAGATAACTAATTCTCTTGCTGAGATCTGCAGTATATGACAGTGTCATCAGCATGAATATGTAAATTTGCTTTGGATTTTGTCCCTAACTATTGATACAAATAACAACAGGCCTAGAACAGAACCTTGGGGCACACCATAAAACACCTTTCATAAGTTAAAGGTGTGTCCATCAAATTTAACACATTGAGTCCTTTTAGAAAGGTAGTTGACAAACCATCCTACAGCTTGATCAGACAGGCCTATGCTGATCAGTCTTTGTTTAATAATACCATGGTCAACAGTGTCAAAAGCATTTGATAACTCACTTAACTACACAATATTCCTTACTATCCAAGGCTTCAAAAATGTTGTTTACTACCTTCATACCTGCAATAATTTTGCTACACTGCATAATAAAACCAGATTGAAACGTGGATAATATTGCACCTCTAGAAAACTCATTCAACAGTTCACTAACCAGGGTTTCAAGGACCAGGATTGACAGCTTTTAAATGAGTCTAAAATTATTTTGCAATTAAGGGTCTCCCCCTTTTAACAGAGGGAGAACATAAGCTGTTTTCCATATCTTGGGAAGTTCATTAGAGGTAATGAAATGTTCATTAAAACAGTTGAGAATGTCAAGTTTCTCAGTAACAGGAACAGAATCATTGACAATGCATGGGGGTAACTCAACTCACCAACGGGGGTAAGGATTTTATAGTTTAACAAAGCTTCCTTGGTTTGTTCAAGTTTTCTGTTGATACTGATAAATAAACTCAGATCTGGCCTCTGGTAAGAGATGTGCAACAGTTACGAAGTTCCCTTAAAGCCATTTAACCCCAGCTCCTTTTTTTGAGCTTTTGCCCAAGCTTCATTTCTTTCATGACATAACACTGACAGAGCAGCAGAATACTATGGGTTATCCCAGCCCTTCACTATATACTTACAGATTAGTGAATGTTTATACACAATTTGTAAAAAAAAAAAAAAAAATCATAGAAGTGATTGTTTCTTTCCGTTGACAAATCTACAATTTTAGTTCAGGAAAGAAAGTTCCCTGAAATGCATGCTTCAAATAGCAAAACACAAAGACACTATACATTTGGTCCTATATAGTTCTGAAGGAAGGCCTTTCTTGCTGTCCATTGAGGAAAATCCATGAAAGATTCTCAGGCCCTCTGGAATCCCTTCGAATTATGTACTTCTGATAGCTTGATCGATTCTAAACAGAAAGCAGTACCTATCTCAGAATGCATGTGTGTGTGTATGTTTTTGTTTTTCTTCTTTTTTTTGTTGCAATATTTGACTTGTTTTAGACTTGTTGGAGTTGATTGCAACTCCAGCTGCTGTTGCTTGGACGCATTCTTTTCTATGTATTGATTCCTCACAAAGGCCTTCACATGCTGTGTTTTCAATTTGTTTTTAGCATTTTCAAATCCTGGCAAAACATGAGAAGAAACAGCTAAAGCTGCATCTAAAGCCGTGATCGTATAGTGGTTAGTACTCTGCGTTGTGGCCGCAGCAACCCCGGTTCGAATCCGGGTCACGGCAGGCCCTGTTGCCTGACTCACATGTCTCATTTTTTTGATCATTCTGGATTTTGCTCCTTGCCTTTCCGAACAGTTCTTCCTGCCCTTTGCAATGCTGCTGCTCTCATAATTGTTTCAGCAGTGTTTTGAGTGTTTCCTTCTCCTGTTATATGGAGAGAAGCAGAATATTAGACTTACCATGGGTTCTTACAGTTCAGAGTCCCCGTGCTTGCCTAATTGTCCCGGGAGTTTAAATGGGACATACCGGTACAAGCACGCCAGTTGTGACAGCTCACACAAGTGACATGCAGGTCAGATTTCGCTACTTGCCTATCTGCCTTACCATGGATCTTAGAGGATGATGAGCTATTCCTCACTGTAGTTACTGTGTCATTTCACTTGGGCCATCCCAAGGAATATCCCATATGGTCTAGTGGTCAGGTTTCCTGGTTTTCACCCACGTGGCCCAGGTTTGACTCCCAGTATGGGAATGCAGGTATCTAATCAAATCTCACAGCTGTGGTCACTGTTCTACTGGTGTTCAAAGCATGTACAGGACCTTTAGATAATGACAGGTTCCAAATACAGGTGTCATTTGTGTGAAGCCAACTACTACAATCATGAAAATCCAGAAGAGAGCTTAATCCTGCTGGGTTTTTTTATTTTTTTATTTGCCATGGCCATAGAGTGAGTTGTTTCTTTCCATTGACAAATGTAGAATTTCAGTTCAGGAAAGAAAGTTCCCTGAAATGCATGCTTCAAATTGTAAGACACAAAGACACTATACATTTACTCCTATGTAGTTTGCGTCTGAGCCACTGCAAACTCACATTTGTTGAGACATGTTTTCCGGGCCTTCCGCTGAGCTGCTGATCCCAAGCTTGCTTGGAAAAGTTGCATTTTTTGTCTCTCCTTCAGATGTAACCAGTAGCTCATTTGAAAGTGGTGGGGTGTTTTCCGGGCCTTCCGCTTGATCCTTTAAAAGTTGCGCCTCATTTGAAAGTGGTGGGGTGTGAAGCTCCCTAACTCCCGCATTCACCGAAGCGGCCTGTTTCTGTCTCCTGTGACGGAAGTTGTTTTCTCTGAGTTGGACATGTATTGTTTCGGTCTGCCAAGGAGATGGACTTCTTCTCGTGTCCCACTCAACTGCTGTTGCTTGGATGCATTCTTTGCTATGTATTGATTCCTCACAAAAGCCTTTGCATGCAGTGTTTTCAATTTGTTTGTAGCATTTTCAAATCCTGGCAAAACATGAGAAGAAAGACCTAAAGCCGCATGACTACAACTGGGTGATGCAAACATGAGCCGTGATCGTATAGTGGTTAGTACTCTGCGTTGTGGCCGCAGCAACCCCGGTTCGAATCCGGGTCACGGCAAGCCCTGGCCTTGAGTTTAAATGGGACATACAGGTACAAGCATGCCAGTTGTGACAGCTCACACAAGTGACATGCAGGTCACATTTTGCTATTTGCCTATCTGCCTTACCACGGATTTCAGAGGAGGATGAGCTATTCCTCGTTGTAGTGACTGTGTTATTTTGCTTGGGCCATCCCAAGGAATATCCCATGTAGTCTAGCGGTCAGAATTCCTAGTTTTCACCTAGGCAGCCTGGGTTTGACTCCCAGTATTGAATGTTCCAAATCACTGCAACATAGGGAACTGTAATGACTGAGAGCAAAGAGCTAAAGCCACATGACTACAACTGGATATTATAACAAAATAAGCTTTGATTCTATTGTGGTTTGTACTCTGCATTGTGACCTCTGAAACCGGGTCATGCCATAACCTTTGAAATGCTGCTGATGTCATGTGTGTTTTTCCCCATCCAGAGGCGATTCACGGGCCAGGAATGTCATGCTTCCAACTGGCCCCCTTAGATGAAGAGTTTGGGGGTTTGTGGGGTGGGTTTGGTGTATTCACAATTAAATACAGGTGACCCTGCCACAATGCAGGTTTGGCTCATTTTTATTAGTTTTGTCTTTGAATCCTTCATTATCTACCAAATTAGTCGTTAGTTTTAGTGGTCACATTTCCAGAATCACCCCGGTCATAAGGAAAAAAATAAGGAGCTTAATCATGTGTTCAATGACTTAAGGAGTGTATTGTCTATAATTTGATCAGGTATAAAAACTCCCTTTTTGTCTATTTGTTTGCAAAACCACATAAACAAAAGTGAATATAAGTGTCAGTAATGCCGTCTGATGCTTTGTTTTTATTTTGCCTGTCCATGTGCTTTTGTTTTCATTTCCCCTTGTGTCTGCCCCGCCTTCCTTGTTACCTGCCTAGCTGATTACTCATTTGTTTCACCTGCCCTGTTGTGCACCTGTGCCTCGTTTGCTCGTTAGTCTGTGTATTTAAACCCTGCCTTGTGTTTGTTCTGTGCAATTTTGTCTCTGTTTTCCTTGTGATCAGTTATGCTAGGAGCCTTTTCCCTGTTCTGACCTGCCTGTTTTGATTTCTGCCTGACTACCCATTTTCTGATATTTGGATTGTGTCTCTGCCTGATTGCTGTGTTCACCTAGTTCCTACCTTGCCTGTTTTGACTTTGACTCTGGATTCTGTTTTGCCCTGTTGCTGTGCTCTCCTGGTTTGACCCTGTGCCTGTTTTTGACCTCGTTTTTGGATTTGCCCTTTACAAATAAACTCTGGTATACTTGTTTATTTAATTTATACTTAAGTTCATACTGTGCTATGACAATAAGAGCTTTTTCTTCATGACATACATGGCTTTCATGGGAAATTCTCTCTCTAATCATTAAAAGCATGAACAATAATGAAAAATTAACAGCTTGTTAAGATTCTGGGGTTGCAGTTGTGGTTGGAATAAAAACCAGCATACACATAGACATATCCCCCCAGTTTCATAGGGACCCTGATCTGTCCCCAACACTTTTGAGAAAAAAAAAATAAATAAAAAAAAAAAATATATATATATATATAGTGTATATATATGTATATATTAGCATAAGCTGCTTTTGCTCACAGTTTGGTCCCCCCCACTTCAAAAATCTCTCCTGAGCCACTGCATAGCAAGCCCCCAGGACAGACGATAGGACCCACTGCATTGGGTAGCTACTTACTGTTGCTCTGTCATTCCAGCGGTGCTTACAGATTCCGCTTCTCACTACCATATAAAATGGCTAGTTTGACAGTAGCTTTGTGATAGAATATGAGACAAATTAATCGAAATAAAAGATGATCTGAAAACTGTATAACTTTTTAAAAGACTTTTATTTTCTGTGCTCGTTAGCAATCCCGCCAGCTATAGCCTAAACATGAAGTGAAGTCGCCTGAGCCGATGGCGTAAGGAGTTACATGTCGACTAACGCAATCACTTACTGAGCATTTAGTACCCAGCGGCGCACTACTTTGCAAGTTTTTCTATGTGCGACTCGCACTGCCGGGTTGGGGTTGGGGACCTTGAGAATCATACTCGTGCAGGACTCTAAGGTAAAATACTCCACAAACTGCAAATGAGATAAAAATGTACTAAATAGTTCTAAATTTACTTTACCGATGTTTGTAGAAGTAATAGCAAATTGCGCACTAAAGAAAACGACAAGAATTTAGGTAGGGTGGGCTAATGAAAAATTTTGGGTAATGTTAAAGTGAAAGCAAGATGCAAACGGTGTTTGATATTTGGACTTCGATAACGCTTGAACTAAACAACCCAGAAAAGTGGAAAGGTTTATCAAAAACAGAGGAACTCGGTGAACGCGGCTCAACGACAGTCCTCTAATCAATTGGCTATGCAGTTAATTTTGAGGGCGTAAGAGTAATTTGTTTCGTTTGTGTTCGAAATGTCTCTTAATTTTGTAGCCTACTTTTATTCACGTCTTTCTCTACCTCCTTTCTCTTTTCCAACCTTGACTTTTCTCGTCACCTTTCCTCGTACTATTGTTACTATTACTACTACTATCGTTTTTCCAACACAAACTTCTTTACATGTTTTGTGACCAGCCTGGAATCGACCAATTTGAGATCTGGGGAGGGGCCGCTCTCACCCCATATCAGCGTTAAGGTTTTTGGTGTGTGGCGGCTTGTTGAGGAACCGGGGACATGTCAGTATCTGTGTTTTTTTTTTTTTTTAGTATGGAAGCGCATTGCATTCACGAAGGAAAAAAATAGACATCTTATCTCGCAAGTATGAGAAAAGATGTCATAATTACGAGGAAAGTTAAGGTAGCCTAGTTATCAGTCTCTGTTAACCTAGGCTATAGAATGAGACAGTTGGCAATCATGGTGCTATGGCATTTGATCTACCTTTATTTCCTTCTCGGTATGAGATACTGGGAAATGTTAACGTTACTTAATGTGGATGGCATTAATATTAGCAGGTCAACACTGCGCAAGCATCTCAAGTCGTTGGGATTTTTCGGGCGGAAAGCCCAGTCTGACCTGCTGGAAGTCGCTCTCTTCCAGCAGGAACAGTTAAACCAATACCAATACCCAGCTTCTTATTCGCAACTCCGGACTTTTTATGTCACCATATGAATATTGTGGTGAGCGGTCATTTATTTCAAAGCAATCAAATAACACAATTTGTTTTGAGCATGAAACCTGTGCTGGGCCGGGCCCAAATCACTTCGGAAACGAATTAAACCTTTAAAAGCTGCCCCGATCTTGCTACTGACCGCATAAGAGCTCACCACAATATTTCTAAGTCCGGAGCTGTAAATAAGAAGCTGGGTTTCCATTTGTGTTTTTGAGCATGAAACATGTATTGGGCAGGGCCAAATCAGTTCGGCGAAGGCGTATGTGTCTGCTTTCATTGACATACTGTGTGTAATGTGTGGTCCACAACGGTTTCGCGCTGTCCTGTACAATTAAGAAAAAGAGCCGCAAATAAGAAACTTAGAAAATAAGAAATTTAAGGTAGACCAGGAACAACGAATAAGCTGCGAATAAGAAACCAACATCTACGGAAGCGCATTGCATGCACAAAAGGAAAAAAATGACACCTTGTGTTGTAATTACGAGAAAAGCTCTCATAATAACGAGGAAAAGATCTCGTGACTACGAGACCAGAGTCTTGTAATTATGAGAAAAGGCTGATGTTGGTTTCTTATTCGCACCTTATTTGTATTTCCGGATCCTCCTTAAATTTCTTAACCTGGTTTCATATTTGTGGTTATTCTGCCCTAGCGGGAAGAGTTCTCTGCCTAGTCTAACTTTCCACCACTGCAATGAATGAAGTGCTTTTGTTCGCAGTCACTTCGTAACAGCAGTCCATTGGTGAAATCAGTAAATATGAGTGAAATAAAGAAAAGAAATAATAATGATGAAGCATGAAACCATCTAAGATAGCATTACAAAGCATTGTGTAAGTATCACATGTTCATTAAATCTATACAATATTTTTATAAATCATTTCTAATCATGTCTTCGGTGACAATGTCTGAATATAATACTACTTAGATGTGTGTCCGTTTTGTTACAATAAACAACTGTTTTTTTTTGTTTTGTTTTTTTAAAAAGCTTCTTTAAAGATTCGAGAGCCGTTACTCAGTAACTATAACAACATAGAACGTCACCGAACTTAAACTACGGGGCCAGAATCAGTGGCAGTTTGTTCGTAGTTGTACAGGACGATTCAGGACAACTTTAACAGCACGAAATTCTTTTGGGCCACACATTACATTGTGGTATTCACACACAAACTTTATTTCAGCTACAAACACCAAGGTCAACAGCTTCTAAATGACAATGACTGATACGGGGACTGTGACTGTGCCTTGCTCTGAGTTCCTTTGGTTAATAAACAGTTATTTCCAGCTTTCTGGCTTGTTTAGTTCGAGAGTTGTTTAAGTCCAAATATCGAATTGACTATCTCCCACTTGCATGGAATTTCTTCTTCGAATGCGTTTTCCATTACTTTGCGAACTTTTCACCAGAAAAACTTTTTATTGGAAAAAATCCAAAATGTATGATGATAATCGTCTTCTAAACAGCCACACTACCCATGCTTCCAGCCACTTTCAAGCGAATTTTCAGCGAACAATTTAAAGTTCGTTTTGCCAGTGAATGTGCGTTTCCATAAAACTGGCTTACAAAAGAAAAACCCTGACCGTAATGACGTCACATTAGATCAAATGCATCACACATCATTTTTTGAATATCGAATAAAATGGTTATCTTGGCAGTTTTTCCATCGGTCCTATTTGCGCATCAAAAATGAGAATATAAGTACGTGCGTGTACGCTGTAGCTATGCATGTTATAAATATGTGTGTACATGCGTATGTTTGGGCGCATTTGTGTATAAATATAATGACTATATATATAACAAATATATTTCTCAAATGATTGTTTATGTACAGGCACGTGAAAAGACAACCAAACCTCTGTAGCGCACGCAAGAAGATGGGGCAGGACCGTCTGCATGTTGGATGTGACTGACGAGCAGTATGAAGAATGAATAGGGAAGCAAAGCAATATGACTTTTTGTATTATAGTTCTCTATGCAATAGGTAATGAACATTCTTATTTTTTCCTTTTATTCTTTATTTTGAGTCCATTCATCTTGTATAAAATAATGTTACATTGATACCTTATATTATGGTGACAGTGACTGGAAATTGAACTGGACTTGCAGAAGTTGGATCAGTTTATTTTACATTCATTCAAGCAGTAG